TAATGAATGTATAATATTATAGATGTACCCAATATTTTATTTTTTATAAATAAATAACATTAGATATGTGCCCAAATTTTTCTCTACTTTTTTATTTTTGTGATTCTTTGTATTTTTTATTTTAAAAAAATTATTATTTGACTATGACACCATTTCATCTCCAGGTTGATTTTACATTTGCTTTCATCATTAATTAAAATATTTCTTACATTTCATACTTATTTTTGTTTAATGTAATGAATATACAATATTATGCCTAATTCTTTTTTTGTATTATATATTTTATTTATTTTTACTTTTATTATTTAATTATGGCATTATTTATTAACCCATTTGATCCCAAATGGTTGAATTGCTTACCCACCACTAGGAAGTAAGAAAATGGTTTTGTTTCCAAATTACTTTTCAAAATATTTATTTTTATATTACTAAAATTAATATTGTGGATATAATTAGTAGAATTTAATGATGAGAAAAATGTATCTTAAATACAGTATTTAATGAGAGAATATACTTTAGATATGGTATTTAATGATAGAGAATAAGAAAATAGTTTTATTTCTAATTGGTTTTAAATTTTACATTCCATTTTCATCATTAATAAAAACATTTCTTATTTATCATACTTATTATTATTTAATATGCCAAATATGTGATGTTAAAAATGTTTCCAATTTTTTTAATTTCTATATTTTTTTTGCATTTTTATCTATTTTTGTATTTTATTATTTAATTGTAACAACATGGATTGACCCATTTGACCCAAAATGGTTTAATCTTTTACCACCACCTAGATGACAACACTATTTTTTTTGTAGGTAGATTTTAAAAGTATAAGTTTTTATGTTATTGGAATTATTAGTTTGTTATGTATGAATTTAATTAATAGAATTTAATGATGGAAAGAAACAAAAAAAAAACTTAAATATATGATTCAATAAAGGTGAATGCAAGTTAATACCTTGAGGCCATGTTTGGTTTGAAGGAAAAGGTAGGGAAAGGAAGGGAAAGACAGGAGAACCTATACAAGGTTTGTAAAAGTTTCCCTACCTTTCCCTTCCTTGCATTTTCTTTCAAACCAAACATAGCCTAAATGTTGGATTTAATGAGATGGAATTGAATACATTGAATATCTTAAAATTACCTCTTTTTAACTCATTTAATATCAATAACCCATCATCCTATTTGCCTTCATTTTTTATCAATACATTTAAATATGAAGGGATAATTTTTGTCTACAAAAAATTCCAGAAATATTTTTAAGGGTATTCATGCTTTTTAAAGGGGCGTGTGTGTGTGTGACATATTCCCAATATGTGATTGGAAGCCCTTGCTTTGAGTGTGTGCAAAGTTTTTGTTTGTAGCCTTGTAGGGAGATCCGGTCACCATAGATGTGGTATCATTCAAAACATTTAGATTCAACTACACCAAAGTGAGCCTTGTGGATTCAACCACACCACTCCTTTTAAGAGATTATAATGCCAAATAACCCTTTATATCATTTGAAATTTGGATCATTATGGATTGGTTCTGTCAGTTTAGGCTAATGGCATGTTCATTTGCATTAAAATCTAACATTTGAATGTCTCTAAAATTTTAATAATTACTTTTAGAGGTGTATTGGAGTTGTTGAGCCTTTCTTGGCTTGAACTTTGAATGTAGAGAATATTATTCTGAAAATTGAATGCTAAGTTTTGAAAAATAACAATTGACTTATTTAACAAACTAATTACCAATTAATAAAATGGACATAAAATGATTTATAAATAATGTAATTGATAAAAATATAAATAATTAAATAGTTTTGAAGAATAAAATAATTTTAATTAATTAATAAATATTTGAAACAAATAATTACAAAATTAATAATTAATTAATTATGCAACTAATTATTCATTATCTAATTCACAATAACAACAAAAACAACAATAATAAATATATTGATAATTAATTAACTAATATATTAAAATAATTGTTATTTACTTTCGTAATTAATTATATAAGTTAATTAATAACTAACAATTATGTATTGCATAATTAGTTAATTAATTTTTAACTTGTAATCATTAAATAATTTAATAAATATTACTGTATACTAAAATAATTAAATAGATAACTAAGCAATACATGGATAATTAATAAAATAATAATAATTTTTAAATATTACTTTTACTATTATTATATAGGATTTTCAAATTGTAGCATACTTAAAGGAGAAACACGAAAGCTTTTGGGAGTACTTTTTGGAAAATAAGAACTGGTGTCATAGGAAAATGAAAGATGGATGAGACATTAAGGCTGAACTGAAATGCAGAAGTGGAATCAAACGTTCTGGTTGCCTCTGAAAACGTATGAATGCTTTTCGGCGTTCAGTGTTAAGAGGCAACGAATGGGGCCCTAAGTCTGGCTACGAATCAAATTTGATCGTGAAGAATCAAAGAGACCCTAAAATATAATAATCCATCTCTAGTCCATGTTTCGTTCTAGCATCCCATATAAATCAGGATCTCCCTCGTTTAATGTCCTAGACAAAAATTCAGATTCATGAAACAGACAGACAAAAAGAACTGCTTAAATTTGACAACCTACGTTGTTAACAGGGTTCTTCTCAAATGACACATTAGTTCACACAAACTCCATAAAACAGTAACAATAATGGATGCATTCTTGGGTGAACTAAGTATCGTGCAAAGAGAACCCTATTAACAGCCCAGGCTGTTGAATATAGGCAGCCAAAGTTTTTTCTATAAAGCACAGGCATACTATCAATAGAATTAAAAAGCAGTCCAGTGGAACTTTGACCCACAAACACTATAGCCACACATTAGGAACATCTTTGTGACTAACATCAGGTGGAACTTGGATATGCTATCCACATATACCCACAAAACACTATAATTTCCTGAGATGTTCCTGATGTGCAGCCGTGTTTCATTGGAGGGCCACGAGGGAGTGTTGCAACCACCGATGTGCTATGGAGGTTGGAACCCCTGAACATGACTCACAAAAGTTGTAAAAAAGCAAGGCTTGGGGATTAAGGTTTCACTAAAAAAGAGTAAAGGGTTTAAACATACCTTAAATTTTCATCAATTTACTTGAGCATTCCCTAAGTTTTGAAATAAATTTAAGTATACCTTGGGGGCTAACCCCATTGGGCTTAAATGTGCCCTCCTTTGATAAAATGTTAGGCCTTTTTTAATATTTTAAAAATCCTATTTTTCCCATTAAAAGAATTGACCTCCTGCAAGGCAACGAAACCTGATCACCCTTTGTACCAGCATTGGTTCCTGTGATATTGAACAGCTGAGATGTCTAGGTTGTCGGATTTACATTTGCCATGATTTTGAGGATTTGGTCCATTGTTTTTTTTCTCTTTTCCTGCAAAGACAAACTCAGAACCTATGTAAAGAAAAAAAAAGAAAGAGACTACATCATGAGGAGACCCTTTCAACACTTGGAGAGCAATACCATTTAACAATCTAGGAACATAATTAACAGAGATCCCAGCAAGACAGTCAATAAGGTCTCACATCATACTCCAAATTTTCCAAGGGACCAAAACCCTAGGCTTCAGCAACAACTGGTTCATCCCCATTTACAGGTCCTGAGAAAGCCTTTATGAACTAACCTGAGCTTGATAAAGTAATATAAGCCATCCCAGGCCTTGCTTTTTTAAAAGTACCATCAAAATAAACCGAGGCTCCACAATCAAGGTTCTAAATGTTAATACTGGCCGTCAGAACGGGCCGTTTGTTCGAATCAAACAGTCAGACCATTGACCCGAAAACCAATGCCCAGAACAGTTCCATTTTCGGGTCATTTTTTAAAACATTGGTTTAAAGGCCAGCTACCCTCTGAACCAGTGACTGACCCGATACAACCCCCTGTAGGGGCGTATCAGAAAACCACCGGCATGATACGTATCAATTGATACGGGCCGATACATATCGATACTTTGAACCTTGTCCACGACTCAAAACTTGAGAAGATGACAAAGAAGAATCAGCCATCGTCAGCATCTCCAAATGACTAATTGCAGCAAAAAATACATCATGAAAAATCTATTCACTGCCCAAATGACTTCATCAGGGGTCAAACGTTCTATTTTCGAACACCTTGGATTCCTTGCCCGCCACAACTTCCAAAGAGCACAATACTAGTATTGGAAGAGCTCTACCTCAGCATCATCCTTGGTATTTAGAGTGGAAATACAAGATCAAAACCATTAAAGCAAACTTATAGACTGAAAGCCAATAGTGCACATGTGGGCCAAACCAAAAAACCCTTTAAAAGAGATGCTCAATGTCCACCTCCAAGCAACCAAATACCCTAAGTTTTCAAAAATCTATCGGTGCCTTGGAACAAAACATGGACTGAAGGGTAAAAGTAAAACCATTGAATAAAAGTTTAAGCCATTCCATCCTTCCCCAAGACAAAGAATAGGCCTACAGAAAAATCCATACAAAAAAGTTAATATAAAATGGGCAAGTGAAGGTTGGATGGAGATGAATGTCAGAGTTTTATTTATTTTAATTTTATCTCTTCTTTGGTTTTCATTGAAAATTTAAAGAATGATCAAGGACAAAAAAGTCTTTCAGTTGATTCCATCAAATGTAGCGACAAGTATATTTTAAATCAGTTTTCAAGAAATCAAGTATGTTAAAATCCATTTATGAAAACTCAAGGTATGTTTAAGTCTTGAAACACATGCAGTGGCTCACTGACAACACTAAGGCTGTATTTCGCTTGAAAGAAAAGAAAGCGCAAGGCGCCTGCCTATACCAGCAGCATTCTCCACAAATAAAGGGATGCCGAGCGACCAACTGAACTACTGGTTCATCACTCAATATAGTCCCAATGTCGATCCACCCACCAAACCTACTCTCTGCACCACAGCACTCTATGTAGTCTGTACCACAGAGATTGCCCTTTACTTTTTTTTTTTTTTTTTTTGCAAAGGCAGATATCGCCCTTTATTAAATTTCATGGAATTAATCAACTACTATTAACTTCATCGCCTCAATAAATTCAGATTCAGTAAAAATTACCAATGTCAACTACTCAAGGTTCAGTAAAGTTTGCAATATCAGCTAATCCTGATACAGTTTAACAGAAACCCCAGAGGCTGAACTTCACCAATTCCCTATCTGCTGCTCCTCAAAGCAACTGTACTGAGGACAAGAAAAATATCTTACATATTAAAAAAAAAAAAGAAAGTTCCCTACTAGAAAGAAATCAAAATCTACTAGATGCCTAATTTCAAGATGCAGCCACTACTCAATCTTCTTCTCTTTCGGGGGGAAGACCACAAGGCAATAGCATTTTCTGCACAAAGATAAAACCAAAAGCATTATATGTTTCTTGAATCTGGTTCACATTAAGCTAGGATAACATCCATATATAGACAAACATCCACATATCAAACAGACCAAGAATTTGTTGGCTCAGTTTGGAAGGAGTACAAATACAAACATGTAGAGTGCAAAACCTTACATTTTGTATGTATTTGTACTGTACATATTTGTACTTGTACTCTTTTCAAACTAAACCTGATGTATCAGCCATAGTATTAGCAGTCCTTTTAACCCATTTCACTCTCGTTTTCACATCTTTTTTATTTTTGAAGGATAAAAGGAAATTTCATTAAACTGGAAAACACAGTACATCTCAAAATGCTGGTTGTCTAGTTGACAAACCAACTTCAAAACAGAGATTACAAGAAATAATTTCTTGGAGAAGAACCACCTCTGGTTTGGTACTTCGAGACAATTCCTCACTAACGTCCTCTCCTTCCATTCCTTATACCCCTTACAGATCAACTAAGAATCCTTATCTTCCCTCCCCCATTCCGTCTTCCCCTGCCCCCCAATTCACTCAATCTCGTCCATCCCCTCCTCTTCTCCTCCTTCCTCGTCCCACCCCTTTCCTTTTTCTAAGTATTCTTCCCTCTTCTTTTTCTCTTCTCTTTTCTTCTTTTCAAACTTCTCAAATGTTATTTTTGTGAAACCTTCCCCTCCCCAAAAAACTAGGCCGAGAGACTTCCCAACCTCCACCTCCCTCTCCACCAGTTTATTAATATTTGCTTTCCCATTTTGAACTATTTCCTTGATTTCTTGATCCTTTTGTGTCTGTTCTGCTCTATCTCTCTCTCTGTCCCTATCCCCAGTCTCTGAACTTCTTCCCCTTGTTTCTCTTCTTCTGAACTCTGAGTAGTGCCTACAGGCCTTCTTTTTCTCTTGGAAATCCTATTTTGTGCTCCGCCCCCTCCCTCCTCCACTCGAAGTCTTCCTTTTTCTGTTATTTTCTCTCCTATCTCTTCTTCTAATCTTTTTTCTTCTTTGCCCTCCCTGTTGTTTGGAGTTTCAAGCGCTAGAATGCTCTACGAGCCAGACTGACTCACCTCCTCACGTCTGTGCAAAGCCACCAGGTTGCTTGGATCATATCGTACAAATATTCTTTCTTTTCTTCCTTCTGTTGCCTCTGCTATATTCTCTGTAGAGCTTAAAACTTGGCTGCCCAGAGCTCTCTTTCGTCCTTGAACATACAACCTCCCCCAAGACCCCAACTCTTCTTCACTGGCTTCTTGAGAGAATCCATCCTTATTGCTTTCTGTCTTTGAGTTAGAGTTGGAATCCCCTTCTTTCAGCTTGTTGGAATTATCTTTTTCGAATTTCTGGGCTTCTGCTTCTTTATTTCTCTCTCCATCCGCAATCTTCTCTTCTATGTCAATTCTTAGCAAATCTCCTTCCATTGTCAAGCATATCACCGTCCTTTTGTCTCTCTCTCCTCCCAGGATCTCGACCTTTCTTCCATTCTCGTATTTGGTCACCACCCAAATCCAATCTTCTTCCTTATCCCCTCTGCAGACTTGTTTCCTGGAACTCAGGTAAACTATCTTCTTCAAAGAAGAGAATGTTCTTCCGACTTTACCCCTCTTGTTCACCGCTAACCTGTTTAAGCGGTAGACTCTTTTCACATCTTGCTCCTTGTCCTCAACTGGTGACGGTTCCATTCCCCTTCTAATCGCCCCTGCCCCCTTTTTGAAACAATCTCCTCCTTATGGTCCAGACCCATCAACCTCAAGTGTCCCTTCTCCGAGAAAACTATACGTGGAGAGTGCATCTCCTCCAGGTCCTTTCTCGGTGAACTAAAAGCTTTCTCGAAAACAACCCCCTGTTTAAAGACTCCCCCCACATCTTCCTTTGCAAAACAAGACCCTTCAGTTCCCAGCTGTGAAACTACCTTTTATCCCACCCCCCCCCGGTTTTTCCCGTGTCTCCCCTCTCTCTTTCTCTTGTCCTTCCGACTCCCCGACCTTTTGCTTTCCATCGTCTTTCTCCTCCCGACTTGCGTTCTCAGATTTGCAGGGTAATCTATCTCCTGGATTCGGTCAGGCAAGACCATTGAATCCTCCTGAATCCAACGAAATGGGATGCAGCCTTCAATAACCAACCTCAAATCGTACCACTCTCCAGCAAAGTTTAACGCCAAACTCAGGGGTATAAGATGTATGTTCTCTACTTCGACCAAAATTCTTGCTGCTTTGGGCGTCCACTCTTCTAAAGCAGCCACAGGCATTTCCGACAGCACGAGAAGACAAGACTCTTGCTACCCACTTCTCTAATTGCCCCCACTAGTGGATTCCATCTAACCAACCTGAGCTTTAATGATTCTCTACTCAGAATTTTGTCCGCCTCCTTGCTACGAAAGATGAAGAGAAAGAAACCTGCATTTAACTTTCTCACTTGCACTTCTTCTTTTGAACTCCATTCCAAATTGACCCATTTCGCTTTCACATCTTTTGTCAACCAGGCCTGAACATAGAGCAATTATTTGGCCTTCTCCATCTTTAATACACCGCCTATCCCTGTCAACCCTAGATTCTATACAGAAACCATTAATATTAAGCTTAATGGGCCTATTTAGCAAGTCTTTTCAGAAGATCTTTTGGGCTTTTCAAAGACTGCTAGACCAAAACATGATCTTTTTTACCATTTGGCAACAAAAGACGAGAAGCCAAAAAGACCTACATCCCAGAAAGCTCATAGAAGCCTGAAATGGCTGAAAATCAGGAAGCTTCTCATCTTTCCATGCCTAAAATCTTTGTTTTGACAGCCTGGTAGACCACAGTAGACCAGGATACTTACCAAACGATCTTGATCTTTAAAGACGAGCTTAAAAGCTCAGTATGTCTTTTGGCCATCCAGGCTGTCGGAAGATCTTCCTAAAAAGACTTGCCAAATGACACTGAAGTTTCTTCTAGCTGAGACTAACAAGTAAAAGTGATAGCCTTGTTAGAGTCGGCTGTACAAGGGTAGTACAGTCCTTTTATGTTTAGTTATATATGTACTGCTCAGCTGATGTGGCTCACTTAAGTGAGGGCACAATGGTAATCCTTGTATATCTTAGAAGAGTATAAATAAAAGAAGGGCCGACTAGAGGGTTTTGATTTTTCTCTCTAGTTCGGCTGACTTTTCTCCTTTTTCTTCAAACCTCCTCCTCTCTCTTTTCCTTCTCTTTCTTCTGATCTGAACCTATACAAACATCTAATCTGAGTGTTATCATGGTATTAGAGCCACAATAATCAGTTCATATCAGTTGTCTCCTTTTCTCTCTGTTCTGTGCATTTCTCTCTAGGGTTTTGCAGAATTCTCGTTGATATTTAGAGAGTTTTCCAGAAAGAAAGAAAAGGACTGGTCGTTTTCTCCTTTTGGGGGTTTCCATGCCTCCAATGAGTGCAGTCATTGTGGTTTTGTGTGGTTGGTAGAAAACCCTCTACTCACAATTCGAAGAGGGCTGGTTTTGTGATAGTGACAGTGCAGACTTGGTACCCTCTACTCGACAGGCACATGATCTTCGAACTAAGTTGTGGTATGTAGCAAATTTCTTTTATATGTTGCAAAACTGAAAATATTATTCGTGAGGTGTGTTGTGAGGRTTTCTAGTGCTGACAGTAAACGGCAACAGTAGTGCTGTTGCTAAAAGTGGTGAACAGTTGTGAATATTGTTGTTGAAACAGTGGTGAAGAGTTGTGAGTGTTGCTGTTGAAACCTGGTACTAGGAACCCTAGTGGTGTTCAGTCATTCGTGTGGAGTGTAGTGATTTATTAGGGCAGTAGGGTAACAATTTAGTGGTACAACTTCCCACTGTTTTTTTGTGCAGTTATGGGAGACAACAGTGAATGCAAATCAAGTGTGATGGTGCCTTCTGATAATCTGAATGTGCAAATGACCTCTATAAAACTGAATGGTGAGAATTATGTCCCTTGAGCTAAGTCTGTTGAAGTTTTCCTGAAAGCCAAAAAGAAAGTGAAACATGTGAGGGAAGATAAACCCTCAATTGATTCTCTGGGATATGATGAATGGGAGCAGGAGGATGCTCAAATTATGACTTGGCTATGGAACAGCATGGAGTCCAAAATTAGTATGAACTTCATGTTTTTAGATACAACCAAGGAAGTCTGGGATCATGCAAGAAAACTATATTCTGGACAAGATAACACTACTAGGGTTTACCAACTGTACCAAGAGTACTTCAATCTGCAACAAGGGAATCAGAGTCTTGAGGACTATTATGCCAGTATGAGAAATTTACAAAATGAGTTGAATGTTTATCATCCTCTTGCACCTGATGTCAAAATTCAGCAATAGAGAGAGCAGTTGGATGTGACCAGATTTTTAGTAGGGCTGAAATCTGAGTATGAACCCGTAAGGGCACAAATATTAGGTGGATATGCTCTCCCCTCTCTTGAGGAAGTGTTTGCTTGTCTTCGAAGGATTTCAACTGGATCCACAAAGACTTCCACTATGTCAAATAGGTTTGCATTTGCAATTACGAGAGGGGGAGGTCGTGGTGGTAGAGGAGGTCAGCATGGTCGTGGTAGTGGTGGTGGACCCATGTATGGTCGTGGTGGTGGTGGAATGTATAATCGTGGTGGTGGTCGTGTTGGAGGACAAGACTCAGGGGGAGCCCGTGATAGGGGACATGGTAATACTCAGAGAAGGTGTACTCATTGTGGTATGGAGGGACATACTATCAACTTTTGCTACGATCTCCATGGCCCACCTTCAACCGGGGCGAATCATGCAATTGTAAATGGTGGCAACTCAAGATAAGAATCTCAAGTCACTGATCAGATCCCCACTACATCTACAAATGCTTCCAGAAAGGAGATGGCGAGTGTTTCACGGGATGAGTATGAGCGGTTCATTCAGGGTACATCCCAACAGAACACAGCTACCCTTGCACACACAAGGTACGACTTGTCTAGCATCCACATCTTCCCATTGGATTATAGATTCTGGAGCTTCCGATCATATGACTGG